GATACTCGAAATCTGTTTGATGCCAAATTGATGTTATATGTCCAAAGAAAAATTTGGTAACTGTAAAAATGCATAAAAGAATAGTTACTTTTAATTTTATTTCGAGCTTCAGTTGTAAATTAATTTCCGATGACGGACAACAGTTGTTAATAACAATAATTATTATTCCGCCTGCTTCATCTCTAAGTGGGCACTACAGCTCAATCACATCATCCTGATCATTCCACCAGTACATTTTCGTGTGGTTTATAATTTCAACCTTATTTTATTTTAAACAATGAGATATAACGTAGCTTTGTTGGGTTATCCAACTTACAATATTTTATTGTACTTAGTAGTAAAACTAGCAAAATTAGATTAGTAAGAAAGCTATTATACATATGTAAAAGTAGGCTTGCTGCCATCACATTCATCAGGCGATAGACCTGGTTATTTGCTATTATTAAATTTTTCGCTATATAAACAAATTCAATGACAGTTCTGGCTCCTCGCTGCCTGTAAAAGTTGTTTAGTAGATCTGTGACTGAGGCTGGAGACGCCCTGAAGGTGAGAATGGGAAGCTCTGATGGAAGAGGTGAGGGGACAGGCTTTCACGTTGTGGAAAACGTCTGCTGAGGATGCATGTGCGCCGCATGCACATCTAACGTGTTGATGGAAGAACCTATTGAAGTCAGCTCACTACCACCAATGGTTTGTGAAGGCTTGTTGTAGGTAGAAATCCATTTTAACCTCTTCTTGGAGATGTTAAATGTATGCCTACCGATGTCTGAGTCGTCCCATCGTTCTTGCCAGAGGAATAACAAGGCGCTCTAGATCTTGTGGTTGGCAACTTCCATGGAAAGGGGAACCTCCATGTCGATGGTGTCCCGTGGCTTTGGCAGGAAATCGGGTCTTTCAATCTCCTTGGTGCCTTGGTGGTCCCTTACCCAGCACAGGGATACACGTTTTGAGGAGGGAAGGGAGTCTACTCAACACTTCCTTAAGGGAGGAGATGTGAAGAGCATGGGAACCATATTTGTTGAGTGCGTGGATGACAATCATTCAAACTGTGTTGAAATTAATGGAAAGATGTTAAGTCAAATTTTTGAGGAAATGTGCTCGGGTCTTGACACAAAGTGTTTTAAGATGATCTCTTCTCAGCCACAGTCAAATATGACAGAGTGGGTAAATAGGAATATGGTTAAAATTTTACGCAGTTATGTAAATATATCATCAACGGTGGACGCAGTAGTTACATCTAAGACTAAACAAAGCGTGCAGAGCAAAACGAAGATTGCCAGTAAAATAAAGAAAATGAAATCCGAGGTTTGGTACAATTTCCAAAAGGAAAGCTACAGACGTGGTGAAAAGGACCAAGAAAGCTCGAAAATTTCAAAAACACGTAACAAAACTTCAAAGGCAGGAACAAGTAGTTAGCAGACTTCCCGACCCCTTGAGTTAAAGGCCAAGTCAGCTCAAAGAAGAAGGACAACGAAAGACGAAAGACCCAAAAACAGTAATGACAAAAAGAACGCAAAGAACAAGTGAACAGCTGCATACAAAATAATGATGAAAATGAACTCTCGAAAATAAAAAAGTGCAGTGAAAATTAAAAAGATCCTGCGACCATAAAAGGAAGAAAGAGGTCAGCCGAAACTGTGGAAGATAGTAGTAGCAACAACATGTTCCCAAGTAAAATGGTTTCGTAAGAATGGTGAAGGACCTCTATAATCGATGAGAATCAGAGACTTAGCGGCAGAGAACAAAATGCTTGGAGAGGACTAATATGATACCATTCGCGAAAAGGGTTTGGACAAACACAATATTTTTGCCCTCATAGAATGAATTTGTGGAGAATAGGGTGAAGGATTACCAGAAAATAAAACACGAGTTAAAGTTTGATTTATTGGAAATATTAAGCTATGTAAGTGTAGAAACTTCTGAGTAGGCTTTCATTTTACCTCAAGAACTTAAGTTCTGAAGCATAGTACGAAGCCCTTTTTGCCGATGAATTCATATGCTTTCTAAGAAACTATTTTTGTGTGTTAAATGCCACTGCGTTGAAATAATCTATGAATAGTTAGAAAGATTTGGCAGCATTTAAAAAATAATAGTAACTAGAGTACGCAATTTTGCATTAGTTCTGTTAATCTTATATCGTAGTCTCAAACTAAGAATCCACTAAAATTTTTTTTAACTTATATTTGTTTTATTCAAATCCTGTAAGTAACGGAGTTTTAAATTCGCAACTATCGATGAGAATCAGAGACTTAGCGGCAGAGAACTTGGAATGCTTGGAGAGGACTAATATGATACCATTCGCGAAAAGGGTTTGGACAAACACAATATTTTCGCCCTCATAGAATGAATTTGTGGAGAATAGGGTGAAGGAAGTAGGTAAATATAGAGAATAGGGAAAAGCTGTGCAATTTATTAAACTCTAGCTTTTATTATAAAGTTATTTGATACCTTTAAAGAACTTCTTTTACAGAGCGAACGAAAATTTCCTTAAAATCTAAGTACGGTTAAATAAATTTAACTCTTTCGCCGTCCTCTCCTGTGCGCAAAAAATTCCGCCCAGCGGCCGTCTGTTTTTCGTAGCGTGTAATGTTGTTTTTTCTGTACATGATAACTTTCCATACATGACTTTCGTAGTGGATGAATGTCAATGAATATTAAATTATAAGGAAATAAAGCATAATGGAAAATAAAAATATCTCTGCTTATTTCTAACTGCAGGATAATTCGATAACATCTCATCCAGGCGATCCACTTCTACCATTTTGTTGTTGCAATTTTTTACAATTATTGGTTTTTTTACAATTCTATCCGTGTTCCAACATCAATCATTGAGTTATTATGGACTGTACTCATCAAACGTATATATCCTTCTTGTTTTTCCAATTCACAACCTCATTTTTTCTATTTTTCTGCTGAGTAGATGTTGAAGCCATCTCTCACTGTCTTGTATCTTAAGTAAAATGACGCGAATATTCATAAAAACCAGGCGCAAATTCAATTAGCCTGATTAGTGCTGCCCTCTAGGAGGTATTAGAACAAACAAAAATAAAAACTCAAACAATTAAAAATTTAGAAAGCGTTTCAAATGTTTAAAAGTTTTAAAATGTAGAAGAATGCTTGAAGCGCGTTACGGCCGCCTTGCGGAAGTTTCATTTGAACGCGCTAGGCGCGTTACGGACGACGAAGAGGTTAACTTACGTTTACATAGATAGGCAACCTTATGTTTACGTTCGACGAATTACCAACTAAATGTTTGCGTTCAAATTTTTATTAAAAATTTAAATTAATTAAACTCGAAATTTTAACTAATTTTTGTATAATATTTCTCCACCGCGTCCAATTGACATAAAATAAGAAAAATGTATTAAGCGAAAGACAGAAAACTTCATATATATAGATGATAATTTTCTTTTCTTCATAATATCTAGAAATATACAATTTAAATACCTCAAGAACATTTGAAATTTCTTTTCTTCAATATAACACATATATTTTTTAACTGTTATTTAAGATATTGCATGATTGTTTTGATCAATATGTTTTTAAATATATATTTTGAAATTTTGTAATATTGACTAAAATGTTTCTTTACGTAAGTCATTACCAATTTCAATGAGAAACAGTGTAAGTTTCATTATTAATTTTCATGATTTCTGATTTAGAAACAATGAAAATACTTAAATTTGTCTTTAATAAAAAGAACCTCCTACACGTGTGTTTATTATTAAAGACAAGTTAAAATGAAACGAAATCTTATGTTCTGTAGAAGAAGGCATACAAATAAGTGAAAGACATTCTCCAACCAATTTTAATAAATATTTTTATTCTGATTTATTTCTAAATTTGAAAAAGAAGTCTTATAAATTATAATTCAATGGATGTGCACATTCTTGTGTGGAGAAATAAATTTTATAATAATATTAAGTAGAAATGGCATTACAACCGATAAGGTATTCATATATTTTCGCATTTTTATTCTTTTGCTGTCTATGTTAACGTGATTTAGAGGAAGTAAAGTTATGATGGTAGTTGTGATCGAACAATATTTTCATTTGAGGAAACAGCCTTTAATTATTAAAACCATACGCTAATATACATTTTATGCAAGGAAAATAGTTTTTCAACATATTTTTGGAATTTTAGAATTCTGTTTTCGCTTTTTTGAGTTTAATGTTGATACATATTTTACGAACCTAACAAAAGCAGTTTAAATGTCATCTCATTTCTTAAACATGGTTCCAATGCAATATCCAGCACAAATGCCACTGATATAGAAAGAAAGAAGAAGAAATGCATGTTCATCTACTGTTTTTTGAATGACATTATTTCTTCTATTAAGAAAGTTAACACAATAAGCATGAAAGTCACTTGGAAGATTTCCGTTAAGTCCTTTTGTCGGTAGTTCAGTTTTAGGTTGTTGCAGAGATTCGTTGGCAGAAAGATCCGTCTGATTTTGATCTTCATTTTGTTTTAAATGTTTTTCTGCCTATTCATTTGCTGACGCGCTTACACTACAAACAGAAAGAGGATCGTTTTTTGTGTCTAGAGCAGGTGTCTTGAGTTTTTCAATATTAGTTTCAATAAGAGTGATGTCTTCATCTTCCGTCTTGCATATTACATTTTCTTTGTAAACATTTGAAACCACATTTAAAAGTGATTCTTGCTCCAGATCCTTCTGTTCGTTGTGTGTTCCGGTATAGCTAGTTTCGACATTTGCATTATTTTTATACTTGTTTAAAGCACTGGAGCTTAGGTTTTAATGACATTATCGCCAGAGCCCGGCATAGTATTTGAAATTCCGTCAGTGGTGTTTTCTTTCATTGTTCCTGTATTGCTTCCAAAAGGGTGACTTCCACGCTTTGGTGTAATCTGGCTAATGTTAGAAAAATCCCCTGCAGTTTTCTGTTGATAAGTGGGCTAAATTACTATCATCTTCCTTTAGCATATTTCCATTAATTATGTTGATGATCTCCTCTCACTTTTCTCAAAAGGCTCCTTACCTTTGATAACAGATAGGATCTTAGCGGAGGTTTCATTTTCTATGTATTGATTCTTGGGTACTTCAGCGAATTTTTCAGATTCAGTATAGCCAGATCCATGACGTGAATTATTCTCCATTTCCTCATCATTGGTCACATTTTCATAAAAACCCTGCACTTCATTGCAAATTTCACGTCTTATATCTTCTTGCATTATTAGTAATACGCTTGCTTGAGAACATTTGTTCTTGTCCTTTGGAGGATTACCACTGCTTGCAGAGAAGTCGGTTTCATCATATTCCGTCCACAGATCTATTAAATTAACATCATCCTGTTGGTTCATATTTCCAGTGATGATGCTGCTCATGCTTATCTCGTCATCCGTGAATGAATTCATAAACTGGATATAAGATGTGTTTTCATCCAAAATTTGATTTTCCGTATATCGCCTTCCAAGTATTTCTCTACTTTTTATTAAAAGGCTTCTTCCACAATCACTTGCATCAACATCAATTAGTTTTTCGCTTTCGTCAATTTTCATTTCGTTTACACGGAATATTTTCTCAGAAACAGCTTGAATTTATTAACAGTAGAAGTTCCATGAGAAGTATTTCTTTCTTGATAATGTACATCAAATTCCGTAGCGAAGTCATAAAGGTCAGTATAGGTTTTTTGTTTAATACTTTTTTTCGATGGTGACAATGATCTATCAATAATGTTAAGCTTTGCATCAGAATATGTGTTTTTGTTGCGTTTCAAATTGTATGCACTCATACTTCTAAGTGCGTAAAATAATACAAAAATAATTGTCAGAAAAATAAATATAACGATGCAACTTGCCTGCAATCCAAGATAGTTAAAAGCACTGGGAGGCAAAGCATTCGTTGTTAATATCAAGCCCTCAATCGCTGTTAATATCAAGATAAAAGAGATTAAAATTATTTTACTCAGCAGTCCATGCATTATGCACTGTAATCCCCGTTTTACGGTTCACTCACACCACCTAAAATCAGTTTTAAATTAGAAAATAGCTTTTCGACAAAGCTTTAAATTAGCAAACTAAATCACTTTCTGAAAGCAGTTCACTCCATAAAGAAAATAAAGCTTGATTTGAAACGAATTGTTTAGATTGGTTTCCACTAACATTGGTCTCGTTCTAATCAATAATACACTTCATTAACAATGCGAAATGTTGTTGCAAAATTCCACGAAGGAACCCTTTTAGTTTGTTGCAGCCTTTTATGTATAATAAATGACAATAAATACTTTAATTTTTAATTCTAAGTTTGTATTGTTACATTGAAATTTTCCGTGGCATAAATCTGGAATAATACCTGTAACCACGAAATTAAAATTTACAGAGATTTTGAAATTAAAATTTTATAGTTAGTGTAACAACACATTTCAAGTTGATATTGTCGTTTCCTATAGTTTTCTTGGAAACACAAATAAAAAATTACCGCTATAATTGTGTAACAAAATTCGAAAAATAAGCACAAATTTATAGACCAGACTGCATATTTCACTTGCAGGGTTTTTTTTATTTTCCTAATAGATATTTTTAATTTTTAGCCACGTTCCTTTAGTCTCTTGTCTCCCACCCAGAAGGAGTAATCGGGATCACCTCTAGAACCAGTATTTAGGGAAACTCTCGGTCACTTTCATACAGAATTGACGTGAATGAGAAAGGGATGGGCTTTCACTTGAGGTGAACGAGTCTGTGTTTTTCTACGATGCTAGAACTTAGTTTTCCGGTAGAGTAAAATGACCTGCGTACCTAACGGGCTTACTGCCCACTAATTCTTACCTAGAGTTTCATTTGCTCTTTTCCTCATCTGAACAGAACGGATTGAAACTATGAAATTTGTAAGGCAGATTTTTGCAACCAGTTTAGGTTAGACGAACTTCACAAGGTTTTACCTTGAAGGAGGATACTGTTATTGCTTATAAAGTCACTAGCTCTGTTGTGAGATCTCTGATAAAAGACTTCTCTGAACTTGTTGAAAATTTCCCAGGAATTAGGACTTAACAGAAGAATACCCGTAAAAACGACATACAAACACAAAGTTCAAAAGAATCTACTGGCAATGTCACATGAGCGGTGCAAATGGAATTTCAGGAGTATCTCAACGATTGAAAGCAACGATCTAACTCCCCAACTCTTGCAACGATTCCAGCGTGCGATCGTTTTTATGTACTTGACGAACTAAATGACCAGAATGACGAAACTTTTCCCCAAGAAAGAAGACGACCTTAAATAAGTACAGGCTGCAAAGAAATGCAGATCTACATCCGATTCCACAAGACCGTTTTTCTCTTGGAGTTATCTGGACCTGCAAAACCCAGGAAAAAATTTGAATATCACAACTAGCATCAGAGATGGAGCAAAATACAACCGATGAATCCTGAATCCGGAAAGTGCGGCCCAATAACGGGGCAACTTCGAATTTCCCAGACGAAATTCAAATTGCCACCAATCGTAATCAAAGACTCGAAATACACTTGGATCCATCTCACTAAAGAACATGATGAGTCAAAACTGCAGGATTATAAAGCTCAAATGAAAGCAGATAACGAAACTCACATCAAAGTCTTAAGTAAACACTTTCTTCGCTATGTAACATCCCTTCTCGACAATAAAAACATTAAGTTCCATACTTATCAGCTGTCATGTGATAAAGATATCAAGGCCGTGATTAGAAGGCTTCCAAATAATGCGGACGTTTTAGACATCCAAGCTCAATTGATACACTTGGTTATCAAGTCAATAAGGTGTTCAACTTAATCAAAAGAAATGTCTTGAAATTATTAAAATGCCACCTTTTTTGATTATACTCCAGAAAACAGAAAAATCTCGAGAGATTTTCAAAGGAAACTATCTCATGAAAATCTCCGTTTAATGTTACTTAGGCGGGCGCCCCAAAGTTCTTCCATTATCAAGCCTTATCACGCTCAGAAAAAGTGCAGGCAAGTACCACGTTGTGTAAAATGTGGACAGGACTATGAGTCACGACAATGTACACAGCCCATAATTCAACTTCCATGCTGTGCAAACAAAGGACAGTAATACACAGGGAGTTTTAAAGCCTGTGCATGTTATTCAAAACATCGATCAGTTCAGGTCACCCAAGGAGTTACTTATGCAGATCATGTCATCCGCAACAGCAATCTGCAAAAGTAGGCGCCAACAACAACAGAGGTAGTGGTGCCACATCAGAAACCAGAAGAAGTAAACACCATTGGACAGCTCTCTAGAGCTATTGCTATGCTAAAAGACGCAATACAAGTTCTCCACACCTCCCAAACTGTGGCAATACAGCAAGAAATGACACCCATAGTCTAAGCTCACAAACTTTTCTCCTTTAAGATGATTTTATCTTGATTTGCCCCCCAAAAAATGCTGAAGAATTTGCCTGACAAAATAATTTATAAGTTGTCTAGCATCTTTAATGCATGCCTACATAAATCGTACTTTCCCAACACATGGAAATACGCACTGACGTTTCTGATACAAACACCTAGAAAGCCGCATGAACACCCAACAAGTTACAGGCCTATGAGCCTACTCTCTGCTTTTAGCAATATCCTTGAAAGTACAGTCTTATCAAGGGTAACCTTGATAGGGTAACCTTGATAAGATTTCCACCCAGCAACAAGGCTTCCGCAAAGGTTTATCGACCACCACTCAGCTAGTTAACATCACGGAATTCATCGGCTGAGCCTTCCAAAACAAAATAAGCACAACTAACCCTGATGCTAGACGTTGCCAAAGCCTTTGACCACGTCTGGCACGTAGAACTTATCTACAAACTCCTCCAAATGGCCCATCTTGTGTTTGGCGCGTCATAATCATCTCTGGTTTTTGCGCCATAATCACTCACTCACTCACTCACTCACTCCAAATGGACTTTCCCGCAAAACCGTTCCTATACTCAGTTTCTTTCTACAGAATAACGCATTTTCAATCTAGCAAGGAGACATCGTTTGAAGAGTAAGCCAAATCTTGCTATGTTCGGCCATATTTCTACGTGCCTGTTAGTTTTCGCTGATGAGATTTAGTTAAGGGCCAAGTCTGTTAATATTTCCATATGGCTTCGGCTAGTTTTTAGTAAGCTATTATTAGTAGTTTCTTATTTTCTATCTTAAGCCCAAGTGCAGCTTTCAGGTAAGCCCGAGAGAGGCCAACTGTAAATATTCTTGAATTCAATAACAGGGTATTTTACACCTTTTTCAGACATCTTACTTTAGAAGTCAGCGAGTAGTCACTACACACTTTTCAAGTATTCTAATTGCCAAAGACAACCAAATTTAACTAGAATCTTATATACTCTTTCATTCAATTCTATATGTGTTTTAAGGCTTCTTTAAACTTCAATAAATCGTTTTAAGAGCATCTCGGGAGGCGAGTTCATTTGTAGGTGCTTTTAGAAACAAGATTTGTCCAGAACATGATGTGCAACTTATATCGCATCTCTCTCTTTTAATTTCAAACTCATATTTACTGAATAAACTAGTTGCTACTGTTCAATAAACGGAATTAAATTATTAACACTTTTCTAATAAATAATATCATCGCTCTTTGCGTTCCTTTCTTTTGAACACTAAAGCTAATAATTGCATCGCTTAACAAGAGAATTGGGGTTGTTTCAAAACTTCTAAAAGTCCACTAAAGTTTTACTACCTGAAGACTTCCTGAAATGGCTAGCTTTAATGCAGTCTCCTAGTACCTATCCTGTTGTCTGAGAAAAGATTTATACTCTTTATTCAAAAGTAAATTTTCAAGATGTTTGCCTCCCTACAAGAATTGACCGGGATATTTAATATCAAAACTTTAAATTTTTGTTGTTTTTTTCAACTTGTTTCGAGGCAGCGATTAATTAAATTAGAAGAACTCGAAGAAATAAAATGTAGTGCCTCAGCAAAGAATATGTAAAATGTGACGGTATAATTACTGATTTATGGTGGTGTATTTAATTATGGCAAAGCACACGAGGGCTATCTGCCTAAAGGAAGGGATGCCTTTCGTGGAGGACTTTCTAAGGGAAACTGGCTCGTATACACGTTACACATGGGGAAAACCACGAAAACGCCCATGCAGCCAGCCCGTTCGCGGGATTCGAACCTCAGACCGAACTACCAGTGTTCAGCGTCTTTACCGCTCGGCCGCTGGTGGCCTGGTGGGCCCTGATTTATGTATAAGGTCATAGCATTCTTTTACATCGCTTGCATATATTTGGATACTAAACAGTTTAGAACCTGTTCGCGGGACCGAATTCAGATGCATTCTAATGGGCGGCCACCGTTACTTCCTGCGACAGTTATAGCCCTTCCTTTTCCAGGATCCGGGCCCTTACGTATCGCAGTTGGCTTCCCTAACCACTATACCATCTGGGCGGCTTACCCTTATGTAGTCCCTCAGGGGAAGTTATTGGCTCATTTTGATTGAATTGGAAAAGCGTTTATTATTGGAAAGTATTTTTATACTTAAATTTTTGATAGTCAATAGAAACACTTCCCGGGGTTTGGTACCTTGTCGTGGTC